GAACATTTTAATAAAAATTAATATTTTTTTCTTGAACATTAACTTACCAGATACTGAATAACTGCACAAATTAATAAGCGTCACACAAATAAACCTATTTTTCTTGTTCTCCGAAAGCGAAATATTTCCTGTTGTGCACACCAAACACGTCAGTACAAGACTAATGACTGCCTAATGACAGGCAATCGGCTGCTAAAATATTCGCTGCTAGTATTAGTGGAGAGAAGTGGTGCGCCTGCATGGAAGGCGCATAAGGGAAATGAATGCAACACGATTAAAGTAATCAGTCATTAGTGAACGTTGTAGTTCGTTATTAATAATTATGTATAACAGGATATTATAAAAATTAAGTTACGAAATTTTTATTAAAATGTCTCTTACATACCGTTATATTGGCTGGGCCGCAAAAACATTTGTTGTGGGCCGCATGCAGCCCACGGGCCGCGAGTTTGACATGTTTGGTGTACAGTGATGGTGTAGTCCCAGATTCCCTGTATTCCTGTATGTACTCACTAGCTCTGTGGCCTTGATCAAATTCTCTCACTTCTGTGTCTCAGTTTTCTCATCTGTAAAATGGGATATTAATTCATATTTCATAGAGCATGAGTGGGAAACAAGGTAATGTCCCTGGCATCTGGTACATTCTACCTTTCTGCTCTCCTCGCTGGTGTTTCTCCACAACACTTGTCTCATTTAGCCTTGCTAGTTTCCTTTTCTGCTGATTGTCCCTCCCCTCCAACTAGACCTTAGGCTCCCAGAGACCTCTCCTCCTCAAGGTCATCCATCCTAAAGTTATTCGCCCAGGTTCAAACCGACCCACTGAGTCCCGATAGGCCAAAGGGGAGACCCAGGGACTTCCTGTCTGAAAGCCTCTAAGGTGATGACTTAAGCCAGCTCCCGCCCTTCACCCTGGAGCCCAACTTCTATAATCATTTTTCTCAAGATATAGAATTTCTCAGAAGCCTGATAGAACCAAATTCTGCCTCTCCTCTGGCTTTCCCTCCTCTGGCTTTCAGGAAGACACTGGGAAGGGAGGGTGCTGGGCTGAGATCAGATAAGCCCCCCATAGTCAGGATCAGCTTCTATCACTTGTTGAGGTGAGCACATCTTAGTTGTTCCCTCTTCTCAGAATAGTGACTCTTTCACCCATTATGGAGGGGGTGGGGAATGAGGGATGAGCTCTCCACTGGATGCCAGCAGACTGGGTTCTAACAATCCTTCTCTGACCTCCTTTCCTGCAGCTATTCAATGGGAGTCAGCTTTCCATCATCTTTTTCGGTCGTCCTCCTTCTCTAGACTACCTTCTCCAGCCTTCTGCACCTCACCCACCATCAAGCCTTAGAGCTACTTCTCCCAGGGCAATGACCTTCTTGACAGCCCTGCTGTTTTCATTACTCAAATGCTATCCTGTTCCCACTGAAAGAATCCAACCTTGAATGCTGTTCTGATTGGGTTACCCCTTATTCCCATCAGATCCTTGTTTGTGATGGGTCCAGTCACCTGGAAACAAGAGTTTTTGGGACTGAGTTTTGGGATCTGCCACCACCACGTCAGTCTTAGCCCCTAACACAACCCTCTAGCTTTAAAAAGACTAATCTCTAAGCCAAAAGTCCTTTTGGAGTTCTGACTGTAGAGTAGCCAAGTACTGGTGGTCTTTCATTTTACTTTCAGCCCAGTCTCTTTATATGTAAGCACAGAGATGCTTGATCAAATGGTGGGAAAGAACATCACATTTATTATTTCACTGTTCAAACATTTATACTTGTTCTCAGGTGTCAGCTTGAACAGCAATCCTCCTCAGTCTACATCAGATTCCCCTCTCAGACTCCTCCTATATGGCACTTGCCACAATCTATGGTACATATATATACAATTATCTGTCCAATGTCATTCCCTTTCCCATTGGCCTGGTTGACTCCATGGTGGCATGGACTGTCCATCTTGTCTACTATGTGGCCCCAAGGCCTATTCCTGCATGGGATTCTGACAAGGACCTGCTGACTGAATAAAAATTCAGGCCCCCTTGGGAGATGGGATCCCAACAACTATAGAAGAGGAAGTTGCCTAGCACTGACACTAGCACTAAACATGAGGCTGAGTAAAGTGCTCTAGACAAGTGGATCTCCAGGGAGAAGGATGAAGTTCAGGAAGGCTTCCTGACAGAGGCATAGCTAGGCTCACATGGTACACGGACTAAAGCATAAAGCATTCACAGGCTGTCCTACAAGGGCACTGCCACCTAACTCAAATGTATCCAGGAGGACCCTAAGATAACTTATTTCACCTATAAGGAAACTGAGGCCCAAAGCAGGACATAGACTAGTTCCTAAAGAAGCCCAGACCTAAGCCTCTTGGGGTCTTGCAATTACCATGTTACACTAGGAGCTCAGAGACCAGCAGAATTGCAGAGCATGTTCCTGCTCTTTTCCAGAAGTATCTACTTTACACTTGACTGAAAAATGTTTCAGGAAGAGGGGGCAGGGTGCTGCTGGTGCTGCCTTGGTAAGGCGGAAAGAATGATTTGGCAGTCACCTTGGGAAGGGGTGGGCAGCAGGAACCCTGCTGTAAAGGGTCAGAAATCTTTCAGAGGGAGGCCTGTTTGTGACTCTCAAGCAGGCTTGACCTTCGACAGAAAGCTGGTTTCTGAGGGAGAGCAAAATAAGCAATAATCTTGGTTTCCTTTATCATCCAGGTGCCTCCACAGGAGAGTGGGGCCACAAAAGCCTTTTTTGTTTGTTTTGTTTTTGGAATTCGCAATTGTCTATTTTCTTAAGTCTTCTCACTAGGCTAGAATCATGTGGTCTTGTAGAGTCAGGCCTAGATCTTGCCCCTGAAATCCCCAGCAAGCAGAGAACAGGGGTTCAATGTTTGCTGAACAAACCATCCTTTCCACATGCGTGACTCCTCAGCTTAAGACTTTGCTGAACCAGGAAATATACCCAGAAACCCAGAAGAGAAGAATTCAAAGATAAAAGCATTGGAGAATCAGATAGGAAAAATACTCAGCAGATATAATCAATACAAGTTTGGTTCTTTGAAAATACCTTTAAAATTGACAAATCTTGGCAAGTTTTGATCAGGAGAAATCACTAACAACACTAGAGTGAAAAAATGACAAACTGACAACAGAGAGATTTTAAAAAGACAGGAGAAAATTACATAAAACTATAGCAAGAAATTAAAAATCTAGGTAAACAGGTAAACTATGAAATTACCAAAGACCTTTCACAAGTGTTACCTCAATAAACCCTCCCAACAGCTCTGTGCCTTGGACAGGTAGTGCTCCTATTATGTTTTCTAGAAGAGATAAAGAGGTGGACACCCAGCACAAGGGCTTTGACAAGCTACCCTGTTTGTCTCAAAGGTCACAGCCATGGGAGCACATGCACATCGATGACACTGAACTGCATCACTGAAGGGCTTCTAATCATTGCCTTAAGCCTTACGCCCCCTAGTTGAATGGCCAGACTTATTTATTTTTCCACTTCAGATGCCATAAGGGGTTTCACTTTATTTTTACTTCAAAAACAGCACCATAAAAATCCTTGATGATTAGAGCTCCAGCTGTCTTAAGTTGTTTGTCAAGGGATCAGTTACTCAAATCTCCTAAGGAGGGAAACAGTTTCAGGCGAGAAGCCATGGGAGCTGAGAAACGCAAATGTCTCATCTCTGAAAACTTTCAGACTCCCTCTTGTTCACTGCCTGGCCTGCCCCCTGCTCTCCCTCTCCCAAACCCACCATCTGCTCTCCAGAGAGCAGATCAAATTTTCAGGCTAAGGTACCCTGGCGCCAAGGACTCAGCCCCTCCATGCTACCTTCTGCCCCCCCACCAACTTAGAAATCCAACACCATGACCTAAATGGACTGCAGCCACATAAAACCACAAAGTAAAGTTTATAAAGCTTTATTAAACATTTCAAACAGCTGTGCAACGAACACACCAGAAATAAAAGCTCCAGAATAGCAGTCCAAATGTTCCACAAGTGTGGCCTCCTGGTCCCATTTCCTAGATGGACTGCCTCCAGTTCTGTCCTCTGCCTGGCCCACCTCCCTTCCCGCTCAGGCAAGAGAAAGATGGATGGTTTAGACTGGAGGGACAACCATACCGACTGCCAGTGGGCAGGGGCCAGGAGAAAGTCTCGTTTGCCAACACTTGTATGAAAGCGCAGAAACAGCAAAAAAGCAAGTGACAGTCACAAGTCTTCCTCTTTGTATTCTTCATAGAGTCTATATGTGCAGGACGGAAGGAGCTCCTGGCACGAGGATGGTCACTGCTCCCCTCTGTCTTGTCTGAACCACCTTGGAGTCCAGTGTGCTGGTCACTCTGCAATCCCATGCTAAATAAAAACTGTAGCGGCACCTACTATAGTAGCTATTGCTATACCTCAAAATCAGGACACATTCAATAAAGCTTATTTAAAAGGAATATACACATGTATTTGTTCACGTACACACACGGCACACCAAAAAATATCCAAATACCTATCAAGGGATCATGGCTGTTTTGAAACACACAAGTACTCTCTCATTCACTCGGCTGGGGACTCTAGATCTACATGAACACACTACACCTCAATCCTGCAGAGCATGCACAGGAGAGACAATGAGGCCAACCCCCTGCCCCCTTTGGACAGCTAAGGAGGGCAGGAGGAAGGACAAAGGAGTGAGGCTGAGCATGAGCCCAGACACCCAGGTGAAAGAGCAACATGTATCTGTTACTTCTTTCTTAAAAATGAAGTGGAAAAAATACTGGAGATTTGTGAACAACAGTCAGTCAATACATGTTTCTGTCTAGCCTGCTGATCAGGGAAAGAAGAATGAAAAAGCGAGGCTCTCGGGCGTCAGCAATCTCTTTAAATTCGAGATAAGTGCAAAAATGAGCCCTGTCTTGGACAGATGCTCCCTAAAAAGGAAAGGGGTAGAAGAGAACTAAAGGGAAACCAGGAGAGGAACTGAGGACTTGGGAATATTCTGGGAAGGCAAAAGACCCTGACAAGGAGGGAGTGACAGAGGTGACAATGAACTTGGCATTTTATCTGCCCAGGTCATGCTGGGATAGTTGATCAGGATGGGTGCAAACTCCTCGCAGGAATGAGGCGAGGGGGGGGGGGAGGGGTGCATCTTGACAGCTGGGACCAAGATGGGGACAGAACACACACAACCACAAGACCACCCACGACTATAGGACTCTACAATAAAAGCACCTGTCAGTGCTATTATTCACATTATAAGGATAAAACATCACAGGCCAAAAAGGCGCCGTCAGGAATGTGGCACCCGCAGGCTGCGGGATTTGAAACTCCAATGCTTTATGACCTATGTCAATGCCTCCCCTCCCGTCTTCTGCTTCCTTAGAAAGCTAAATGTGCAGGCTGTTAGGTGCCCACAACGCTGGGGTCATGTGCTGATTCCGGAAGCGGGGAATCGGAGCAGTGGTACAGGAAACAGTTTCCCCAGCAGCTATAGCAGATGAGGAACAGAGCTGCTAGGAAAACCAAGGCACAAATTGTGCAAGGCTTCCGCTCCAGGAGGAAGCTGAGCAGGTAGAAGCCCATGAACATGGAGTGGCTGAACCACAGGGCGGGGTTGAGGGGCTTGGGGATGAGGAGGACAGGCAGCAGCCACTGGAGGCAATACATGATCTCTGTCAGGCAGGGCCTTCGCCAAGGCCGCTGAACACCGCTGCAGGAACCGACCTAATGGGAGCCCGCGGGCGTGGGCGCTGCCCTCCGCGTTCTTCAACCCTCACTCTCCAGGAGCTCAGCCGCTGTGCTCTCTGGCTGTCAGCCCAGGATCACCAAGGCAGCAGGGGTCCTGAAGAGAAAAGTCAACACAACAGACAGACAAAAACAGACAGACAGACAGACACAAAACAAAAAACAAACAAACAAAAAAACAGGAACAGAATGTATACTTATTTGGGAAAATGGATCATGGTTAACAACAGTAAATGTGAATGCCCTTTCCTCCCTGCCCACCCAGGGAAGTCACCATTTCTAGAAGCCTCCTGGGGTGTCTCCCCTGGGCTTCTTGGGGGCTCTTCCGTCAGGTCCCAAACAGTGGACTGGCTTTGCCTGGGCCCCGCCCAGCAGAGATCATGTATCGCCTCCTGGGGCTGCGGCCCGTCCTCAAGGGGTCCAGACCTCACAATACCGCTCTGTGGTTGCCATCAAATGGTCATGGCTTGATGTTGTGCCCCACAGGATTAGCACAGGGTTCTCTCTCACAGCAGGTGCTCAGTAGAGAGTTAAATCAGTTAGTGGCACAGGGCCTGCGGGAAATTGCAGTAGCAGCAGTACCATCAAATATTTTGTTTTAAGATGGCAGCCTGGAATGAGCTTGCTTTTACAAATTAGCTTGGCGTCATTTTACCAAAATCAGCCAAGTTCTTAGAAAGTGAATATAAAAAAAAATTAAAAATCACCATGCTACTTTGTCTAAACCGACCTCGCTTGGATCACTTACACTCTCCATCTGCTGCTGGCACTGTATAGAACCCGATTTCTGTGAGCCTTTAATAAAAATTAATTTTCTGTCCACATAGGGGCAAATGCTAGTTGGCCCCTGTGCCAGGCAGTGTGCTGGAGAGAAGTGCTCTCCGGTGGCGGGCCACCAGTGCGCTGGAGCCGCACTCGAAGACCCGCTCGCATTAAGGTCTAATTGATGCGCCTGGATACCGCGGCAGCCACAACCCTCTGGTGGCGGTAGCAAAACCCTGCTCCAGCCGCCCAGAGCAACGAATACAAAGAACCTCGTTGGCTGCGGAAGACCAGGGCGGGTGGGGGGTGGGGTTGGGGGTGGAGAACAGAAGACAGAGGTTGAAATGACCTGTCCAGCAGCAAACTATCCCACAGCGCATTCTGACCACTTCACGCGAGAGCTCATCCCATCCCTTCTGCACATACAAAGGTGCCAATCCCTCCTGTACCCCTCTCAGAGGGTATACCCAGTAACTACCGTTTTCCCGCCTAGAGTTCAGTGCCCTGGTAGGAATCCTACAATCGCCACGGCCATAGGTCTAGCAACGTAAGAAGTGGGACTCAAGGAACCAGGGAAAGATTACACGCTCAGAGACTCCTGTGAAACAGAGGACGCTGGCTTACAGCACATCAAATATTCGAAAAAGAGCGCTGAGCAGGGGCCTGTGAAGACAAGGCTCCTGGAAGGGGCAGCCTTTTCTGTTCCGTGGGTAAATGATCCCTCTCTAAATTAGGTATCCATCTGTGCCCAAGGTGGGTTCTGGGACGGCACCGGACATTGGGCTCAAAGAGATGAGGTCCGTACAAGAGGCGCACAAACCCTACACTTGGGCAGTTCGCTACTCAGAGTTGCAATCCCCCTCCATTTTACACTAAAATTCAAAAGCGAGTACAGCAGAATCTTCTGGAAAGGGGCTAAAATGAAACTCTGGAGGCGGGGGTCGGTGTGGAAAGAGCAGATGGATTATTTTTTCCTCTCCTAGCGAATGAGGAGCGCCCCCGGTCCCCCCACCCTACAGGACCCCCTCCCCCCAAGTGCGCATGCGCATTTGGGTGGCGGGCGGATACTTAAGGGGCGGCTGCGGCAGTGCGCCCAACAGCGGACTTCGAGAGACCAGCGGCCCTCGGCGAACCCTCAGCCTTCGGCAAACTCTCTCAACCACCCATTCTCGGGACCATGGCGGCAGTGGCGGCAGCATCGGCTGAACTGCTCATCATCGGCTGGTACATTTTCCGCGTGCTGCTGCAGGTAAGTGTGCCCGGGGTACCGGGTGGCAGAGGGGTCCCAATGTGTGTACCCTGAACCCGCAAGCCCACGTTGCAATTGCCGCCTCTCATACCCATCCTATCCTGATTGCCGCGATCCCTGATTGCCGCGATCCCTGCCCGCCCGAGTGCCGCGGCCGGCACCACGCGCCCCCACCCGTCCCCTGCGCCCTCCTCCTAGCGCAGACCCTTCTCAGTGCGCCCGCGCCCGGCTGGGAACAAAGAGTTGGGGCGCGGCGGGCGCCAGCAGCCGACGAACGCTGAGGCTCTTAGCAACCAACGTGGTAAGAAAAACCCGCTACACTCAGACTCGACCCCAGGAGGGAGGCGGGGCACCTCTGTTTTGCGAAGAGACTTTACAACTCGCATAGCAAAAATTTTCCGCCTTAAAAAAATTGCGCATTGCGGGGAAATTTTCTTTTTAAAAAATATAGCGCTTGCGGGGCTGAGACGAAAAATAAATTAGGAAAAGGCACTTCTCAAAAACAAATACAAAGCACTTCACAAAGACCAACAAACTAGGAAAAAAGTAATTCGCGGGAGGAAAAAAGTAATTCGCGGGGGGGAAAATGAATTCGAGAAAATGCGCATTGCAGGAAAAATAGACAAAAGCATTTGGCAGAAAAATTGCATTAGATAAAAAGCGCATTGCAGAAAAAAATATAGACAAAGAAGCTAACAAAAAATGAATCAGATAAAAGCGCTTTGAGGAAAACAATTAAAGGAAAAGGGTCTTTGCAGGAAAATGGAGAGAAAAAAAGCGCTTCCTAAAAAACCAAATTTGCTTTATTTTAAAAAAAAAATCTAATAGAGGCAAAGCACTTTGTGTAAAAAAAAAAAAAAAAATCAGAAGAAAGCGCTTTGCCCATAAAATCATTTACCCTAAAAGCACCCTTTGCAGGAATAATTTCCTGCTAAAGGATTCTTTTGCCAAAGGACTTGCTATTTCCTTCAAGGTGTTCCTGGAATGCTGCATTTACTGGGTAGGATTCCCTTTTCGAAATTCTCCAGGGACCCAGCCTATTGCAAGAAGTGAGGTATACTTAAGTTTTAGGTCCAATCAGCTTGCTGCCATGTAGCCTTCAGCACAACTGGAAAAGCTCCAGCTGCTCTGACTCGTGGACAAGCTGTGCCCCTGCCTACCTCTCCTAGTTGGACAGGTGGGCGGGGCAGGGGGTGGGGCGGTGGCGGGAACAGAAGCGCTGTACACAGGCTGCGGGTCCCCACATCTAAGGGCAGTCCTGGGTCTCTCACTACAGGTGTTCAGGTACTCCCTGCAGAAGGTGGCGTACACCGTGTCGAGAACCGGGCGGCACGTGCTGGGAGAGCGCCGCCGGGCCCCCAACTGAGGCCCCAGCCCCCAGCCCTGGGCGGCCATGTCACCAGGTGCTCCTGTGCATCTCGCCCAGCATGGGAGCCAGTGCCACCCAGGAATAGGGGGTCCCCTGTGCTCTCTCGCCAGAGGAGCATTTGCCAAGGTCAATGAGGGGCTGGCAGGCCTCCAGAGAAGCAGCACCGCAATGACGACAATACCTGATCCCTTTCCAACCCCTTTGTAGCCCTCCCACTATGGGGCGGGATAGAGGGAGGAGGAGGGATGGAGGGAGAACTCAGATTTGGGCATAGGCATTCTGATCTGGACCAAGTCGGACAGCGACATCCCAGCCCCACAGCCAGGGCCAGACCAGCAGGCCCCACCACAGAGATCCAGACTACGACACCAGCAGCAGAATGAACATTCCAACATCATCGGCCAGCCGAAGCCCTGAATCTCTGAGCAGCAGACAAGGAGTCAATTGCGTGCCTGTGTGGCGGGACAAGAGGGTTTGGGTGGGGGAGGAAGAGGGTTAAGAAACAGAGCGGGGCCCTCTCACTGTCCCTTGCCTACTGCACGTGCATTCCAGCCTTGCTGCCTTTGCTCCCTCTATTCCTCCTTCCCCCTCACTGCCTCCCAAGCCCACCCTACCAGAAAAAATGTGTCACTCAATTCGGACCTATTCAATCAGTAAAAGAATCCCAACTTTACTAAAACACCTCCGAGCCCCCAGTCCCTCATTGATCTTTTCCCTGGTCTCATGCAATTGTGGTCAATATTGTGGTAATCGCTAATTGTAATAATTGTGTAAGAGCATTAGTTGTGCTTCCCCGGCTAGATTGTAAGCTCCTGGAGGACAGGGACCACCTCTCAAAAAATTAAAAAAAAAAGCACCTCCCCCATCTCGCACAGTGTCCCAGGACCCTGTGGGGCGGTGGAAGCGCACCAAAAAGTTGTCTCTTGTAACTTCTTTTGTGGCTGCGACACATACTTCTAAGACTGGGTTGATGTGCCCATTGTGAAGTAGGCATGATACTTGGGAGAGGGAGGGAAGGAGGGGGAGGCAACAAAATGGGTATTGGGACCCTCATATATCTCAACACGGTCCTGAGATAAAGGACCATATCCTCCTCCCCAAAGAGGTCTTCACTTGTGGTCTCAGAATAAGAGACCACTACCCACTCCCTCCCAGAGAAGTAGGTGCCTTCACTTGTCCAGGGATAAGGTGCCTTGGCAGATAATCACTGGGAAAGATGGGAGGAGTGGAATGCTGGGAGTGGCCCTCAAAATGGGGTACTAGGAATGGGGAAGGGGAGTGCGGGGGGGTGGAGGGGGACGACACATGACAGGACTTCAGAACACAAGCCCTACCTCTATTCAGGAGCCCCAAGGAAATGAGTACTGGGCAGGTGGGCACTGGGTTGGGCAATGAATATGGGATAAGTAGTATGCTGTGGCGCCTCCCTTGCCCAGTTCATTCTTCTAGGCCCTATAACCTCTACTAGGACCATTACAAGGGCATCCTGCTGGTCCTACTACTCTCAGGTATCCCCCCACCCCCAGGATCCTCTCTTCAGCTCACTCACCCCAATACTGGGTTTTCTGCTTCTAGAATTAGCCTCCTTATTTTTAGCAGTGCTTACCATGACCCTGGCCCTCATGTCAGGGTGGGTGGGCTGCTCAGCTCCAGACTTCTCTCCCTTTTCCCACTCCTCAGTGAGTTAGGGCTCCTGTTACATGGGGTCAGCTGACTACCTCACCAATTGGCCCTGCTGTCTATTCAGTCTTGTCTGTGGCTTTATGTGTCTCTGTCACCACACCTGTTCCTGGGTCAACACCAAGGGAGGGAGTTGGAGAGCCATAAATCTCTTTCTGCCGCTTACTCAAATCCCTTAGTCACAGCTGTCACAAACACTCTGGAGCACAACTTGCCTCACCTCCTTGAACCTAATGTTTCTGTCCTCTTAGCAAGCCCCTTGTGTTTGTCAACCCAACCACCAGCACCTCTAGAGGCATCTATAACTTCAGCTCAGCATCAGAGAATCATGGGGGTGGAGGGTGCAGACCTTAGTTCTCATATTGGCTTTGCCATCAATCAGCCCAGGGAATCTGGCCAGGTCACTTAACCCTCCTTAGTTACCCTCTGTAAAAGGGCTGCTAAGATCCCAGTGAACCCTAACATACTAGAAACATTCTGCTATCAAAATGGCAATCAGGAGTGATAGGACTGGAATGGGGGTGTGCAATCTGAGTCTCCATCTTCTGTAGGCTGGGTGGCTCCAGCTTCTACTATAGCCTGAAGGTAAGGCAGGTCTCTCCTTTTGCCTCATCAGCAGGCAATGCCCACACCTCCCTTCTGAAGCCCATCTCTTAGCAAGCCTCAAGACTGGAGTTTCTGTGGTTTTCTACCAAAACCCCCAGAACCATGAACATATTTCAACATGTGTTCTCCATGAAGGCTGCCCCTCCCTTCAGAGCCTTTCAAGGGTGTGCCTATTACCCCAGATGCTCTAACCTCAGCCCAGTTTTAAGGCAGCTGGGTTCATTGAGACAGGCTGCAGCAGCTTAGACAGGTCTGGCTGCTCTGGACACAGGAGGTAGCCTCAGAGCTTTCCAGATGATCTTGGCAAAGCCCCTCCGCAGGGCTTTCTCCATCCATACATCAGCAGGGTTCAGAGGATTGTGAGATGTCAGACTTCCAGGCAAAAGCTGCCATCATGGCCTACACCTCCATGGGTGGGCTTGAGTGTGCAATGTCCACTCCCTTCTTTTGTCCCCCATTCCCAAACCATCATGCCTTGGCAACAAACATCACCCAACAGAGAAGACAGAAGGAATGTGTTCACTTTCTATTCCAGTGCAAGGACTAGAAGTCTGGTACAAACAACTTGTTTATAATATTTTTCCCCAGTAGTGACACCATTAAAACATTTTATTCTGACAGATAGCAATGGGAGGAGCTGAAAATGACTACTTTTATTGTAAAGCCCTTAGTCCACAGTCTCCCCTTTTCCTAAACCAGTGATGGTGAACCTATGACACGCGTGTCAGAGGTGACACGCGAACTCATTTTTTTGGTTGATATTTCTTTGTTAAATGGCATTTAAATATATAAAATAAATATCAAAAATATAAATCTTTGTTTTACTATGGTTGCAAAGATCAAAAAATTTCTATATGTGACACGGCAACAGAGTTAAATTAGGGTTTTTCAAAATGCTGACACGCCGAGCTCAAAAGGTTCGCC